CTTGAAATACGTTGTGGTAGGCTGGCAATTTTCCTCTAATATACATACAATTTTAATGTTTTTTACTTACTTCAGCGCATTTCCTGGGTTACTGAGGTATTTAATACGGATCTTAAATCAAATATTCATGCAAATTTTTCACTAAGGAGTGGTATGAAACGATATTCCAAAGGAGATTCTTTGTGCCAGATTAAAGGCGTTATCAAAAATTGCATAAATGTTTAGAAAAATCAAAGCCGTAGGTGAACTTTTGAACGTATGTTCTTACTACAAGTTGAAAACTTTAAACCGATATCTCAGCAGCCCCCGTGTTTTGATAAGAGCATTTTAGTAACAATAATTATTGAAATATTCCCTCCTATTTTTGGACATATTCCATCTACTAGAGATTCTTACAGTCTATGACAAAACAGGCAAGCAAAGCTTAAAATTGTTTCTAAATTCAAGACTAAAAAATGGCGTCAAATAACTTACTCTGTACTTCCGACACAGTTTATCAGTTAGATCATGGTTAGTTTGATTCAAATCATTTCTATTTCAGATGTAGACTTGACTCAAGTTTATTCAAAAGATTCTGGTGTACGATAACTAAGCCAATAAAGACGTTCATTATCATTATATCGTAAAAATCACAATTTGCTTACCCAACAACAGTTCTAAATCACAAACTTTGAAGAGTCAGCCTATCACATTTTTATTACAATGGCAAATGAAATTGTATACTAGGTACGAGGGATGTCTTTTAAGTTTTGCATATAGAAACATAGTAGGCCGCGCGGATCGATCGTCAGTACTGAATCTTAACCTCACTCTTTAGTAAACTTAAATTCAAAGTTTCACAACAATACGCAGTGTTCTCACTACAGTGAATTTTTAAGTGTCACCAAGTCATTAGAAAAATGGAACTCAACCGAGAACATTTTCGCGCCATAATTTATTACAACTATCGCTACAAGAATGCCTTGCTGAGTTACTGTCTGTTTTCGGCAACGAAGCGCCACATCAGTCGACAATTTCTCGTTGGTATGGAGAATTCAAACGTGGACGGGTGAGTTTTAGCGACGATTCCAGGGTGGGTGCACCAAAAACGGCAGTCACCCAGGAAAACGTCGATGCTATGCGTAAAATCATCATTGAAGATAGACATGTGACATATCGCGAGATTGAGGCGTCCTTGAAGATGTCAAAGACCTCAATCCAAAAAATTTTACATGAAGAATTAGGAGTAAGAAAATTAGTTTCTCGTTGGATACCCCACCTGTTGACTGCAGAGCAGAAAGCAGCCGTGGTTAATTGGTGTCAAAAAACGCTTGATCGTTTCAATTCCGGAAACTCAAAAAATGTGTACAGCATGGTTAGTGGTGATGAATCGTAGATTTACTGTTATGAACCAGAAAATAAACGACAGTCGACTGTTTGGGTGTTCCAAGGTGAAGAAAAGCCAACAAAATTCATCCGTTCTCGAAGTGTTTCGAAAAAGATGGTCGCGACATTTGTGTCAAAAGCGGGTCATATTGCAACAATTCCTCTTAATGAGCAAAGAACTGTTACTGCGGATTGGTATACCACCATTTGTTTGCCAAAAATAAACTCTGAAAGAAGAATCATCCTCCACCAAGACAATGCAAGCTCGCACACAGCGCAAAAAACAAGGCAGTATTTAACGGAAGAAAACGTGGAATTATTGGACCATCCTCCATATAGTCCCGATCTAATTCCTAACGATTTCTTTACTTGCCCGAAAATTAGAAACAGACTGCGTGATTGAAGGTTCCAGTCACCAGAAAAAGCAGTTGACGCATTCAAAAATGTCGTTTTGGATCTGCCAGCAAACGTGTGGAATAAGTGCTACGAAAATTGGTTCGGGAGCATGCAGATGTGTATTAATCTTCGTGGAGAATACTTCGAAAAACAATAAAGTCATTTAAAACTACCTACCGTGTTGTTTTATTTCCATATGCAAAACTTAAAAGACGTCCCTCGTATACCAGTGATGGAGCCTCCGTCGATATTATTCTGGGCGCAAAAATGTTAAAATTACTTATGTTATAAAGAAGCAAACCCAATGTGTCAAATATTCATAACGCCGTCACCGGAATATCGGCCAACCCGTGGTAAAATATACTACGCACGCCTATGGCCTGCGTCGAGGCAAGGAAACCGTTTGGACGTATATCCTCACCTTTGCTGCCAAATCGGTGATCAGAACTTCGAGACGTGTAGCACAATTAGCGTGATTTGAACTTATCAGCGTAAAGTAAAAAAGGGTTGTCCAATAGGGACGCAGGAAAGTAAACGTCAATTTGACTTAGACGCCATCTTTGTTTTCTGTCACCGACATGTCATTTTGTTAGTTGAATGTTTACCATTGATCGCTATGGAGTCGTATTCGATTTAAGACCGCATTAAAGTTATTCAAGAGCACTACAAAAATGGTGCAAAAATAAAAAACACGTTTCGCGCGCTTCGTGAACATTTCGGTCGCAACAACCGCCCAAACGAAACAAACATCGGTCGTCTGGTGAGTAAATTCGAGGCAACAGGTTCTGTGGAAAATCTGCCAGGCTCTGGCCGGCCAAGGAGCGTTCGCACACCGGAAAATATTGCTGTTGTGAAGGAGAGTGTGAGAGACGATCTGAAACAATCAACAACGCGTCGATCCCAAGAATTGGGCATTTCGAGAACCAGTTTGCTCCGCATTCTCCACAAGGATTTGAATGTACACGCCTACAAGATCCAATTGACGCAAGAGCTGCGTCGGGCCGACCATTTTTCGCGCCGAACGTTGTCAGATTGGCTCCTTGAACACCGCCAAATTGATTCCAATTTTTCATCAAAATCATGTTCAGCGACGAAGCGCATTTCACTTTGAATGAGACGGTAAACAAGCAAAACTGCCGCATCTGGGAGAACGAAAATCCCCGCGAGTATCAAGAGCAGCCGATGCATCCTCAAAAAGTGACTGTGTGGTGTGCATTGTGGTCAAAAGGCATCATCGGACCTTACTTTTTCGAAAATGCGGCCGGGGACGCCGTTACCGCCAATTCTGAGCGATATCACGAGATGATAGAAGACTATTTTTTGCCGCAGCTTGAAGGAATGGATATGGACGATGTTTATTTCCAACAAGACGGTGCAACATGCCACACAACCAACGTCAATATCCATCTATTGCAGTCCTTCATCGGTGATTGCGTGATTTCGCGCAGAGGAAATGTGCCATGGCCACCAAAATCGTGCGATTTGACTCCCTTGGAGTTCTTTTTATGGGGATATTTGAAAAGCAAAGTCTACGTCAACAAACCAGCCACCCTCCAAGAACTCAAAAACAACATCATTGCCGAGATAAATGCCATAGAACCGACCATGTTGCAAAATGTCATTGAAAATTTCGACCATCGCGTGGACGTCTGTAAATCCAGTCGTGGTGAACATTTGAGCGATATTATATTTCATACATAAATGGTATAAATGAACCTTCAAAATAAAGTACCCAACTTGATTTGAATATCAATCTTTCTTGTTTTAATATGCGTTTACTTTCCTGCGTCCGTTTTGGACAACCCCATATTATTGAGACCAAGGGTACCTTAATAATGGAATGCTCTTCACTGAGGGCAGAGGTACATCTACAGCTTCCCACCCCTTAGAACCTCCAACTTTCAACCCCTGAAATTTTTTTTCTGAAAATGTCTATTTTTTGTTCGTTTGTATGCCCGTAGCTCCGTCGCTGGTGGATCGTTGATATCTCATTATCGATTTTTTTTCAATTAGTACTCCCTCGCCTGCTGATGTGGGAAGTAAAAATTAAAACACGTCTACAAAGATTTTACGAAAAGCCACATTTTCCCTAGGCTTTAACATTGTAGACCAAAGAAAAAACAAAATTAAAATAAGTTAAACAGAAACAGTGTTGACATCAAAGAGAAATCTTTTCCAAAAAGCAGTAAGAAATACGTCCTCGCCTCATATTTCTTGTTATGTGCTTATACTGCCCGCGTTACTTAACAGTACCATTAAACTTATACAGCATACAGATGTACAACATAAAATCTGTGTTTCATTGGCATATCTCATTTAATGGCATAACGATCTATTAGTCTGGAATAAACATACTAACAACATAGCCTCGTTATGACTTATTTAGATAGTAAATGCAGTAAAGTTAGCTTTTTTCCAAACAGTGAAGAGCTCGTATAGTCTATTGCAATATTAATATAAATGGTGTTGGTAATCACATTTTTGTATATCATTCACCTCAATATGGGGGTCATGACCCCCCCCCCAGGCGAATTCAATTCGACCACCAATTTTTAAAGTTCCAAATCTCTTAGATAAATCTGTAATGCACACATATTAAATAGATGCGATATTCTTTAATAATTTTCAAAGAGCTCAAGACACCTTCAGCACTAGCTGAACCGATAGTCAAAGTCAAAAACAATCTGAATAAACTGCAGCTCCCCGGAAAACTGTCTACTAAATTGTTTGCAATCATGAACTTCAAATAATCTAGCGGGCTGTCATTAGTAAAATTACGATTTTCCGAAAATACATGCTCGTAAAACTAGCTAATTCATATTTCAGATCTGTAGTGGAAAATTCGGAATATTTTTCCATCAAATTAGTCACGCTGGTTTCTAATTCGTTTTCCTTTAGATTGACTAATTTCGATGGCATCAAAAGCCAAACACATCATTCACTTCACGAAATCCTTCAGTACGTTCTTGCAATTCGTTATTCATTGAATCCAAAACTTCGCAGTAGTTTATTCGACGTTTTTCGTGAGTTTCCAGTGGCGAGTCAGTGGAACATTTTTTTGATTTTACTCTTTCTGACAATGGAAAAACCAGGACTTTCCCATTCCATCTCTTCCCACTTATTCTTAGCCTTCAGAACAAAATTATCGTATGTGCTTTCGTTCCTAAAATCTTTTAATTTGTTTAATGCTTTTTTTTATACTCCAACTACCACGAAGGCCTAAGGCCTAAGCACCCATTGGGTACCGTGGGGCTATAGGGGGATACATGTGAAAGGGGGGCACGCCACACGGACTCTGGCGAGGGAACACATGTGCGTACAACATGCACACAGTCTGGCTCCGCCTACGAGATCCGCCGGGTGGAACCTCCGCGTTCGACAGTCAGAGACCGTCTACCACCTGCAGACAATCACAACATCCATAGCCAAGAGAAAAATTTCTCCTGGGACGAGACTCAAACCCGCACAGCGCACGGCGACTGAACAGGAGACCGGCCACCGCTGCTGCCTGAAATACACCTTTGAGCCATCATCAAGTCTATTTCTTTCTTTTGCATTTGAACCTGCACAGTATTCACTACGCTCACTACTGAATGCCACCATAACAAATTGAGGAAAAAGGTCCAGTTCGCCAGAAGCTCCCACTCTTGAAATTTCATCTTCTATGCAATTGATATTACATTCAAAAAATTTCTTCCACGATATTATCACGAAGAAAATAGATATGTCATCAAATAAAAAAATGCACAGTATTGTGAAAGTTTATGGTTATAAGCATTGAAGACGTGAAAAGACTGTAATAGACGCATTAGAGTCTTTGTTAGACTGAAAGAGGCTGATTCATACCACGAAGATATTTACTTACTGAACATTATATGCCAGGTAATAATATGTTACTGTGAGCACAAGATGAAAAAATAACCATTCCACTCCTTGAGAAATAGAAGGGTCATTCTGTAATTTTTTTTAAAATGAAATAGTCATTTTTCAAAAAATTTCTTAAGAAATGAAAGGAAAATTTTCTTATTCAAACTGAATGCTAACGCGCTGTTTCATAAACATTACGCAGATGGTCATTAAAAGAATATAACAACACTCTGATTTCTTGTTATCAATTTTACATTCAGACGCGCTGAACAATATAGTCACTAGAGCTGATTTTTGTTGGGGGCGCCCCTGTGACCACCCTGCCTTGGGGGGCTTAGGCGCCCACCCTTCCCCGAAGATGAGAAGAACATCTTCCTGAACATGAAGTTTTTTGACCAGTGTGACCCGACACCCCCCCCCCCCCACACACAAATTCTGGATCCGCCGTTGCCTCGCTTAGATGCTCAACAAAATGTCTGCAGTGATCTTTTCACCTAACGTCAATTCCAGTAGTCTCTGGTAGTCAAACCAACTACCACATTCGAGTAAATGATTAGAAGTATACTAAGTGACATATAAATCCGAACACCCAGTTTAAATGGTTTTATTTTAATAAAAGTTGGTGAATGTATTTATCTTACTGTACATAACAAGTGAAAAGTTTTCAGCCTTATCAGTTGGACATTCCGGTTTTTATACTGCTTTTTTTAATTCACTAACGCTCTAAAAATGAATATTTCAGCCGCAGTAAAGAATCAACGTTGGCGGATTTTGGTTCTTGACATCCTTTACGATCGGTTACGATGCCTAGAGTACGGAGACCTGTACGATTTCGTCAACTTAGTGAGTGTGATAGGGGCCGTATAGTGGGACTTCGGGAAGCTGGACTTTCTTTTCGGGCAATTGCAGTTAGAGTGCAAAGAAGTGTAGACACTGTGGTTAGGTGTTGTCAGGCATGGCTTCGAGAAGGCCGTACGCAAAGAGCAAGGGGCACTGGACGCCGCCGTAGAACAACAGACCGTGAAGATCGCCGCCTAAGATTATTGGCCTTAAGGGACCGTTTCTCCACTACCAGGTCCATTGCAAATGAATGGTTTGCAGAACACGGAAGACCTATTGGCCTGCGAAGTGTTTACCGACGAATGAGAAGCTTTGGCTTGTTTTCATAACGGCCACACTGGGTCCTTCCTTTAACTCGAGAACACCGACGTAATCGCCTTGAGTGGTGCAGACAACGGTCACTCTGGGATCAGGAATGGAACAGTATTGTCTATAGACAATAGTCACTATAGTGACGAGTCTCGATTTTGTTTAGGCATGCACGATGGTCGTGCCAGGATTAGAAGGCGACGTGGTGAAAGGAGGAATCCACAGTTTTTTGTTGAAAGACATGTTCATCACACTGTTGGAGTTATGGTTTGGGGTGCTATAGCTTATGGTTCCAGGTCACCTTTAATCTTCATCAGAGATAACATCAACGCGCAGCGTTATATCCACGAAGTTCTAGAACCCCATCTTTTACCCTATCTTGACACCCTGGCAGATCCAACTTTCCAACAAGATAATGCCCGACCACATGTTGCAAGAGTCACAATAGACTTCTTTCAACATAACGATGTCACATTGTTACCATGGCCACCAAGATCTCCCGACTTATCCCCAATTGAGCACGTGTGGGATATGATGGGTAGGAGATTGCTCAATTTGTAACGTCCTCCTCAGACTCTAGAAGCACTTCGAGAGGAGTTGGTGGTTGCCTGGAATAAGATACCTCAGGAGGACATTGACCACCTGATCAGAAGCATGCCTAGGCGCGTTGGAGAATGCGTAGCACATCAGGGTGCATCCACACATTATTAAAGGTCAAAGGGCTTTAAAGCAGTGCAATCATTTTGAAATTTTTATCATTTACTTATTATGCTTCATTAAGTACTTATACAAAATTTTATTAAAATAAAACCATTTAAACTGGGTGTTCGGATTTATATGTCACTTCGTATATCTACCTTGTCGTTATAATAAAATGAAATTTGCGTATTCTCTCTTCTCGACTATTTAAGTCTCTGTCAAAGCATCCACGTCATGTAGTGTGTAGTATATCCCCACCGCTCACTTGTCGATCCAGACGAGCTTTAAATAGCATTCAAAGTTACGATTTATTTAAATAGTAAATATGTATATAAGGGGAGAAACGACTGACTATTAGTTCCGTAAGATGGGAGCCTGTTAATCAGTTAAGGAATGTAAATTATGCTGTAAACCCCTCGTAGAGTGACAGATTTATTTGGATGCGTCGAGGGATATTTTTAAGCACAATCCACCCTTGTGTAAGCTTCATTAAATGTAAAGCGTTCTTAAGGGAGGATATACGATAACTGAGTCGACACGCATAGCGAGAATAGAGCGTTGTTAAATTGGAGCCGAAGTTGCGGAGGGACTGTTAGACTCAGGAAATACCGAAAACAAAGAAGTATTGTGATTGGATTCAGTTTCATTGAATTATCCGTTTGAATCCCTTGTATCAGATTCTCCGTTTGTTTTATGATAGCTATATTACAAAACGAAACGGTTACAAAAATATCATATGCTTTTTGTATATCTTGTATGTGGGGCTGGTTTTTGAGAATTTATATTGTCAGCTAAATATCACTTCTTATTTATTTTTGAGTGTTACGGTATTGCTATATAAAACGCAAGAATATCGAAGCATTGTAGCGGGTGATTTTTTAATAGGTATAGTATTTGATTTTCAAAAAAACACACAAAATTTGAAAAAACGTTTATTGTATATATTTCATGTAAATGTTGGCCGCGGCTCCGCTTTAGATGGCCCATGCGCAAGGTCCAATTTTGGCACACTCTCTCCAACATATCGGCCGGTATCTCACGAATAAATGCTTCAATATTGGCTTCCAGTGCGTCAATCGTTGCTGGTTCATCCCTGCAGACATTAGCCTCAACATGGCTCCACAAGAAATAGTCCAACAGCGTTAAATCACACGATCTAGGCGGCCAATTGACGGGCCCCAAACGTGAGATAAACTGTTCACCGAACTCGCCTCTCAATAGGGCCATTGTTTCGTGTGCGGTGTGGCATGTGGCACCGTCTTGTTGAAACCACATGTCAGCCAAGTCCAGCTCTTCCATTTTGGGCAAAAAAAAATTTGTTATCATCTCACGGTAGCGCTCGCCATTCACAGTTACCTTCCGGCCATTGTCGTCTTTGAAGAAGTACGGCCCGATGATGCCACCGGCCCATAATCCACACCAAACAGTGATTTTTTCTTCACTCCAGATGCGGCAATTTTGCTTGTTAACGTACCCATTCAACCAGAAATGAGCTTCGTCGCTGAACACAATTTTTCGATAAAAATGTGGATCTTCCTCCAACATTGCCAGCGCCCATTCACCAAATTGGAAACGTTGTGGGAGGTCGTGTGGCTTCAATTCTTGCACCAGCTGTATCTTATAAGGTTTTACACCCAAATCCTGTCGCAAAATTTTCCACGTCGTGGAGTTACAGAGGCCCAATTGCTGCGTGTTGGTGGTTTAATGTCCAATAATGTAAACTGGGTTCGAAATTTAGTCACAAGCTTCTGCATAGCTCCCTTAGAAGGCCGACCAAATTGCCCATAAATTGGAAGCAGTGCTCGATCTTAACCGAGCATGAATTTTGATAGTAAAATTCAATAATTTGCAAGCGTTGTTCGTTCGTAAGTCGATTCATGGTTAAATTATAGACCAAACTGAACAAGTTTGAAAATGACACAAAACACGATTCACGCGTCATCTGTCAAAAACAGTATTGCCAAAAAGATACTAGCAAAAAAATCACCCATTATAAGTGTATAATTACACTGCGAAAAATGCGAGTAAAATCTCATTTTATGTCATGTGAATATTGACAATACCATGTCTTTTCTACAATATGAACAACATAAAGCCACACTCATAACGTTATAATACAGTTATTGTGTCAATTTGCTACGTAAACTATTGTTTTTACACAAAATCACGTGTAATACAGAAAAAGTTGTAGTGTAGTTTTCACCGTAAATAATGTGAACCTACGGAATTTTAAATGTTTTTGTCTAAAATTCCAAGACATTACATGGAAGTGCCAGATGACCAGTGGGACGCCAAATCTATTTCTAGGTAACCTCAATATGTTGTGCTCTCAAAGAGACACAACACGTAGACCTTACCCGCTTGTTTTCTTTCCGTTTGTCTCCACACGACTTGGCCTATACCGTACTGATGATCGTTAAAAAGCATGAAGCGACGTTATGCGATTTGTTATGGTCACAGAACACGTTAATGCGCTACAAGAAAAACGTTTATGCATGTTTAACAGCATTTTGTGGGTAAACCGTTGCAAGTCAGTGTATTCATGGTATTGTCATTTTTTTTTAATATTTCATAGCCTTGCAACAGCCTTGTTTTTGATGTTTTTTTCTACGAAACTGAGTTAAATTTGAAAAACTCATTTTCATTAGATTCTAAACCTACGTTTTCGAAACTAAGCCTCTAGAAACACAAAACTGCTGAATTTCGTGTCGGGACCAACTCAAATTTAGAAAGTACTAAATCTAAATTATCCTTATGTACAATAATCCAAATCAGGCATTTCATACAAGTAATATAAAAATTTGCCGTAACCTTGGCTATTTTCTTTGAGTGTGCGCCAATTTCTTGGAGAAGATTTCAGGAAGATTTGGAAAAAGCGCAATAGTTCAAGCTTTGCCAAACGCATCTGCAATTCTTTGATTTACGCAAGTTGTGACGTGCGATG